GAAGACTCTTCCAAGCTGCAAGCTGCTTATGCTGGTGATAAGGCGAGAGAGATCACAAACAGAGAAGCTGAGGTTGTGTCTGCATGGTTGAACATGCAAGGAATGTGTGAGGATCGTCGTGTCAAACTCAATGACACTAGTGACTTGTTCAAATTCTTCAATATGGTGCGCACACTTATCCTCTGGATGGATGATGTTATTCGGCAGATGAACACTACAGAAAAGCCAAGGTAAGGAATTGTTTTACTTGGAACAGATTTCTAAAATGTTGGTGGAAATAATGCTAGAGCCCCTTCCTAAATGCCCACTTAGTCTAATCACACTCCAAGACCTTTGTGCACTGGTGTTGAGTCATTCTTATCATCCAGGCCTTCAGCCAAATTTTTCTTGATAGCATAATTTCGTCACCCCAGCCCTTAATTTGAATTTGCCATCATGGAAAATTCAATCACCCGGCCATCATGCACGACGTGATGGTCATCTCTTCTTGATCTCGTATGTTAATAAGTGTGGCTTATACAAGATTCTCTCCTCATTAACTCCTTGGCAAAGACAAATCTTTCAGTATGTGTGTGCAGGTATCTGATGGGGTGATTATCTGACTCATAGTAGTTTTCTTGATACCTCATCATTCTTTTTCTCAGCATAACGTTCATTCCAGTTACAGTCTCATGGTCTGTATGAGTTAGCCCAAGGATGATTAAGGTTTTTTACATCCACTTGACCAATCCTAACTCACCTAAGGAAAAATATGGTAACTCAGAATGGACTGGTCAGAACATCACAAGTAAACACAACAAATGTCTAAATGCTGTATTACCTAATTTTGTGTTTTGCAGCTGTAACTAACCTTAAAGTAACCAAAAATCTTCTTTAGATGTGCTAATTCTTGTAAAATTAAGTCTGAATCTTGATATCTTGACTTGTCATACCATACTGCCTGGCAGTTGGAAAAGAAACTCATAATAAGGTAGGGCTTGTTATCTGCAATTTTATTGTTCCTATGTGTCACATGTCACCAGAAGCATAGTTTGATTATTTAGTTGAAAATGTAAAGAGGAGTGTGTGGTTAAGGACCACCTACTAAAGGGAACATGGTGGCAAAAAGATTAAGAGCCTATGTTATAGATTATAGTTTTCAGTTACATTGGGCTTGTGCAATAAATAGAGGCCAGAATTGAACTTTGTTTGAGGTATTTTATTCATTCTCTTTTTCTCTCTTTCTCTCGCAGGGATGTTAGTGGTGTAGAATTACTAATGAATAACCATCAGAGCCTGAAAGCGGAAATTGATGCTCGAGAAGACAACTTCAATGTGTGTGTATCACTCGGAAAAGAACTTCTCTCTCGCAACCACTATGCTTCAGGAGAGATTAAAGACAAGTTGATGTCTTTGAGTAACCAACGCAACAACATGCTTCAGCGCTGGGAGGAACGATGGGAACATTTGCAGCTCAGTAAGTGGTTTTGATTTATGGAGTTCTTGTCTTGTTGAAAAAAAATAGTTTTCTAAATATTGGAAGAAATTTTTTGTAACTACAAAGTAGTATTGAACACCCAATAGGTGAAATTTATTTTAAGCTAGTATATGCTAGTATGGCAATTTTCCTTGTTGATTAATAAAATTTCTACTTGTTTTTCAGTTCTGGAGGTGTACCAGTTTGCTCGTGATGCTTCAGTTGCTGAACAGTGGCTCATGGCACAGGAACCATACCTAACTTCGACAGAACTTGGAGTAAGTTCTATTGATGAACTTATGAATTGGTTGATGATGGTCAGTGCCCAGGTTCTTTTTTTGTTTATGATATAGATGTGTTTTTTTTTAAGTAGTAGTAGTTGTAGTTTTAAGTAGTTGTAGTTGTTAGTAGTTGTAGTCATTAGTAGTTGTAAGTTTACCATTGTTCTTTGGAGCAATTATGTACACATACTGTTTTTTTTCAGAGGTCAATTGATGATGTGGAAAATCTCATCAAAAAGCACGAAGCCTTTGAGAAGGCGTGTTCAGCTCAGGAGGAACGGTTTGCTGCGCTTGAGAGGTTAACAACGGTAAGGCTTCTTCCTACATGTAATTTAGACTTAAGTGTAGTTCTTCTTTTCTCTCTTCTTAGATATTGGTGATAGGTATGGTGTGGTATTGTGTGTATATATATTGGGTATATGTATAGATCTGTCTCTGTCTATATGTTGTATATGAATAAATGATATGTATAAAAGAAAGTTCTTATTGAAAACTTTTTTTTGCATGTATATGCATTTTACATCTTTGGTGTGATTGTGCTTGGTATTTGGGAATTTGTATTTTTAATCTTATATAGATAAACTTGAATTTATTATTACGTATTGCACATATATACTTAGAATTTATTATTACGTATTGCACATATATACTTAGGAGATCCTAGAGGCAAAGTATTGACTGAATTTCCATAAGCAGTAATGTATGTAGTTGAGTTTATTGATGTTGGTCATATGTACATCATAAGACAGGGGGGTTTGACTATTTCATTGTTTCTTTTTAGTGTTGAAAATATTTTTCACTCTAGACAGTTTTGTACATATACTTGGCACAGTATAGAAATTTGGAGTGAAAAGAAGTGTGATGAATATATAGGTTATTTATGAATCTAGATGGAATATTCACACTGATGGAATGTATTACTTGGATAATAGCTGGAATTGCGAGAACAGGATAAGCGGCTAGGCCTAACAGACGAACAAGGCCGTGCTCTGTACTATGGTCAACGCTACACAGATGATGACCCGGTGAATGTTTGATGCAAAACAATGTTCATAAAGGATTGATTGTGCAAAGTCTGTTTATGATGCATAAAGAAATAATAGTCTTACATGTAGACGAAGGGGAAAAGCATTTGAAGAGTATTGTAGATTCAGTCCTTTTCTTTCTGCAGTTCTCTCTTGCTAAGTATTTCAGTATTATCCTTTATGATCACTGTGAGCTCTGTTGTAGCCTTTTGTGCCTACACTCATTGCTGAATGGGTTAGCTGGGTTGAACAAGATTCATCTTAAGGACTGTCTTTTTTATTAATTTCTCATCATTTAAATGCAAAAGAAAAAAAGAAGGGTGTTGATTGCAGGCAGCACTCTTGCCAAGTTATCCTACCAGAAGTTTGTTTAAACCAGCCTGACCCACCTGCCTAACTTCACCTCATGTACTATATGGGAAGTTTTTACTTTACTAGTTAAGTAGCTTGTGTTGATACATTAAAGTAATTGATTACTATCATAATTATTTTATATTACTCTTAGAGGAATTAGGATGTATGAGCAGATAGACTGTATATTAGTGGGAATATTTATTTAAACGTGTTAAATTTTTCAATGCTTGCCATAGGCATATGACATTAGTACTTTCATACAAAAAGAAATTTGAATATAAACATTTGACACGTTTAGATATTGAACTTCAGTACAAGTGAATTTGAGTTAGGAAGTGTGGTGTGAGTGTTGATAAGAGATAAATTACCAACTTAAATAAGTGATATGCTTAAATGGAAGTTAATATATAACATGTTTCTTGATTTATTTATATGTTTTTTATATTTTTGATTTTGTTTACAAAATAAAGTCTAAAAACAAAATAAAGCCGGGTAGTAACTATAAGTGCTGAGAAGTTATTAAAACCATAGAAAACATTAGCCCAGTTTGATTTTTCTTTTCTTTTCTTTTCTTTCTTTCTTTCTTTCTTTTTAGCTGCAGGTGCAAATGTGTTGGTACTTGAAGCTTTGTATGCAAATTTGATTTCACTCCTAACCAGCACTGACTTTAGAAGATTAGAAGAGATTGAGCAAGTTTAGATGTACATATACAACTTCATACATCTTTATTTTGATTAACTCTGTTATAATGTATATTCCTCATTCTTCTAAAGCCTTGCTGGTTATTCATACAGTTCATATGTTGAAGTTACAGTACCAGAGCAATGACTGAACCTTTAGCTTTGGGTGAACTTAGTTTTTATTTCCCATTTCTGATTTATTATTAATGTGTTTTTTTATATATATATCTATTTTTTTGTTTTACTTGTGGTGAATTTAGTTGTTGGAAAGGCTAACAAGAATGGATTGTTTTTGTAGAAGATGGTAATTTAACTTGAGGGATAATAGATTTTTAGCTAATATGAGGTGTATGTATTTTGCTTAATTTTATTAAAACATTCTGCATCTCACCTGGAAGTGAGGAGCAAAATGCAGGTTGTAAGAGACTTTCTTTTCAGGTTTATTAATCAATTATTCTGGAAATATTAGACTAGATAAATCATAAGACAATATGCATTTGGAGATATGTGGATAATTTTGAGTAATTTTTGCAAGTATATTTTGTACTTGTATTCAAAGTGCATGTGAAAATATATGTAAAAGGTATCACTCTGCAAACATTCATCCCTCATTTTATGTATATGTCAGGTAATCTGCTGTTTTCATCTCTGGGTACTTTTTCTGCTTTTCAATAATTGTGCTGTATATTTCTTACATCTTTCTCCTGTTTAAAAATGGGAAAATTTCCTCTTTTATGACATTCTAACCTTAGTTTGTATTTTTTAGTGTATTTTTTTTTATCATCTAATTCTTTGCTTGTTACAGTAGTTTCCAAAATTTGTTCCCTCCCTCTATTCGTCAAACATTTTTTTTTTTTTTTTAACACATGTAAGGAGAATGATTCTTCATGGAAAATACACATGTAGTCATGCTATGCTGATATAAAGTCATTTCAGTGCTTTGATGAATAATCCCTATAGAGTATATAGACAGGTGAATATATTTATGAATAGCATTAATTGGCATCTCATAACCCTGCTAGATATCTCCTACCTTGAATAAAGGGTGTATTTCCTATTTGGGAACTACTGGAATAAAGCTCGATTTTCTCTTTTAATTATTTTGTTGTTCTTTTGCATGTTTGTTTTTTGTTAGTACCTGCATGTATATGTATTTGTTTTGGTGACAATTACAGCTAGAAGCCATAGCAAAAACAGATTCTCCGAAGCCATCAGATGCCTTGGGTGATGGGAGTAGCATAGACGTTCTTCCTTCCTTCAACTGTTTCATCTCCCTTCCTCCCTATTCCCCAAGACCACCCAACATGCGTCGTCATTCCTTACCCACCCCTGTACATGCTTTCTTTACAGCATTTTCATGTCCTGCACTCACAGAAATACAAGCCAGCAAACACAGCTTTCCAATAAGATTGTCGTCTGAGATTTCATTAGTTAAGATGTATCCTAAAGGATCTTTGAAGCGTCAAAGAAGGAGACTGAATTCAAGCTCAAACCCACAACTCTCTCAGACCATCCACATAAAAGATTCAGACACTGATAACCTCTTTGCAGAAATGCGTAATCAGAGATGTAATTATTACACAGACCGACCTGTTAGTGATCCAGTAGGGAATTCAGTAATGATTAGTTCAAAAGTTTCATCAGTTGACAGCCCATTCACCTCTCCGAGTGTCGGTAATGATAGAAATGATAAGAAATCAGGTGGTATGATTTTACTAGAGGAACCTCAAAAAGACTGGGATTGTAAGTCATCAAGTTCAGTTGGTGAGTTCGTAAGTCTAGATCATTATGAAGCTCCCTATTTGGAAGAGTCTTTGTATAGAATAACAGAATTTTGTTTCTCTAAAGAGAATGAACATCAGGATGTTGGTTTTGAAAGCACTGATAATGTTGTTTTAAGGGTGCCTGAAGGTGAAAGTGGAGATGAAAATTGTCAGAGATTAGGGAGACGTCAGGTATACAGTTTTGCTGATAATGTGAGAGATAGTGCAACCCTCCCTCCAATATATGAAATGGAGGGGGAAGGCCTTGATGTCACAGAACTTAGCAACCCTTCAGGTTCTGTAGAGTTTTGGAGTTATGAAAGTCTCTTAGATGATAAAACAGATATAGTTAATAATTCCACTGATGCCCAAAGGAATTCAGAGAGAGAAAAGGTTTTGTCCCATGCTCAGTATTGTGGAGATAATGATTCCATAATGAGTTATTATCCAGTTATTCCTTGTAATGGCTTAAAAGACACGGTGCGTAATGTGGACCATCTTATAGCTAGGCTAGATGGTGTCTCTGTACAGGGGTGCCCCTCTCCTGCATCTCCTTTTCCTCTAACACCTCCAAACACTTGTGATTCCTCCCCTAAACTCACTAATGGTAAACACACTCCAAGAAATAACCTGCATGCACTCTCTCAGGTGAAGGTAACGTTATCTTTTTTTTTTTAAGCTACTATTGTGAATACTAAAAGCTTCGAAAGTGAATACTTGCTTTTGAATTTTTGGCTTGCTTACTTTTTTCTTTGTGAACTGGCTTTTTATTATGGTGTTGATTTTACTAATGCAGGAATAAAACTACTATTTGCTTTATTAATGTTTTGTGGGGGGGGAAATGCGTAGTCTAATTTGTTTTTCCCTCTTTTTTTTTTTCTTTATTTGTAGAATTTTACTTTTTTTTTTTATATCTGTGTCTGTACATATCACAACTTCTACTTTTTATACTATCATTCAGTCCTGTGATGAAGCAATGATTAGCATGGCAGATAGATGTGTTTAGCATCCAGTGAATGTCACACTGTAGTTGTAATGTGAGTTGAAATTTATTGGTGTATAATTTCAGTTTGAGTTGAAAGAACTCAAGAGGAAAGAAGAGGAGGAGGAAGAGGAACGACGAAGACAAGAGGAATTGGCAAGACAAGCAGCGGCTCCTCCTCCTCAGTCACCTGACCAACCGACGGATGGGTAAGCAGTGCTGATTTTTAGAAATAATTTTTTGAAAATTATAGATTAAATTGTATTTTTGCTATTAATTTATTGATATTTCAAAAGGTAATGGTTGTTATTAGTAGAATTATAATGATAATTATAACTGTGGGAGGACATTGATAGACTAAGATAATGATAATCATATTTCCTCTTTATACAACAAGTGCAAACAAGTATATATTGTTTGTTCTTGAAAAGAATAAAAAAAAAAACAATAATGGCTCTCTCTATCCTGCAGAGTTGATGGTGCGGGAGATGACTCGCATGTTAATGGTGAAGAACACGATGAATCACGAGAAGGTAAAGGATAGATGATAGACAGCCTGTAATGTTAGCAGTTTGACCATGACACAAATCTGATGTACTAGCATTTATATAAGTACAGAGGAAGTGGCATCAGTCCATTCTTTGGAACTTGGACATCGAATTACATAGTTTAATTCCATGAGGATTAAGAAATTGAAAATGTTGGGATAGTTCTGTCTGGTTATTTATTTATTTAAGTGGAAGTGTAAGGTTTGTCAGATTTTGTTCTTTTTAATATGACAAGGAAAGGCCTTAATTACGATGTTTGGAAGTGTTACGCTAGGAATGTAAAGCAATATCACTTTAGAAATGACGATAAATTAGTTGAAAAAGATGAGGAAATTGGAATTTTGATATATAGAATATCTTAATCATCAAATCTAGTAGTTGGATTACATGGGGAATGGAACATTTTCTCCATTTGAAAAGGGATGACAACTAATACTTTAGGAAGGGAAACCTGATGCCACTCACTTTTATTGATGGAATCTTGTACCATGCCCCCAAAGGAAGGCTAACAGTCTTGAGTATTTTTATTTTTTGTCAGTGATTACATTTAACCAAAGTAGACTAACAATTTGCATGAATTGAATTTGAGATCCTTTGAATTATTGAAGATTTGGATATCCATTTCAAACATATACACAGAATCCAACTACATCAACATAATTGGAAGCTGGGACAGAAGATACAGTTATTATGAAACATAATTTCAGAGAACATTAGCATAAAGAATACTCCTTTGTGTGCACATAGCAGTTGCACCACACCTCAGGCTGCTAAATTGCACGGCTTCATAGTTTCATCAAACAAAAGAGTTGTCACTGAAACTACTGTATTTAGTGATAATCTACTCTGATTGGTGCCAGCAGTGGCATTGGACATGTTTCTTCTTTATGATATGTGTAAAAGTCTTTGCATACATTTTCCACACACACACACAAGGGTAGTGAAATGCACTTCTTAAGTAGACATCTATTTATTTACACCATCCTGTGGCAGCTGGGGAGCCTCCAACAGCATTGCTCCCCTCCCCCACCAGGGGCAAACTCCATACCTTGCCCAGAGGTAAGATGCAACTGTGGCAATGTGTGGAAGGCTTTTCATGCACAACTTTTGTTGTTGCTGCTCAGTCACAGTGCTTTAAGGATTTAACCTTGTGTGAATACAATCCGTGAATAGTTCTTGGCACTTGCCATACCAGATATACTTTTGAAGCATAGAAGGATTGTTATAGAATGATAAAAAAAGAAATAGCTTCACTTTGTGCATTACACTAAGAACATCAATTTCCAGTGTGTTTTCCTGGCATGCTTTGTAAGATGAGCTTTGCCTGACTTGTTGACCCACATCTCCAGTACTGTCCCAGCTAGTCTGTATGATTACTTATTTATTTATTTATTTTACTTATCTGACATAACTAATATGACAAGATGTTGCCAGTATTTTTAACCAGAAACAGTTAAAAAGAGTAAGTCCTCACCAATGGTAATTTATATTGCTTTATTTATTTTGATGATGTCTCTTGTGGTGATAGTAGAAAAAAAAAATGTCCAAAGAGATGTCAGTTTTGTGGGTTTGATGTTTCCTTATCTGTTAGTGGGAAGCTCTTTTGGGCTCCTTGGTGTGTTGCTCTGATAGTAGGTGCTGGAAGCTCCTCTGCTACTTGGTTGAGATTGTAGGAGCAAGTGGTTCTTCAACTGGTAATGGTTTCTTATGGTGTTTCTTGGATATCATCTCTTGTGTAAGCTGGGGTGGTGAAGGTTGCACAGTTCAGACAGTCAAAGTGCGTTATTAATGTTTCTCTTCAGAGATCAAGGTGAGGTGTCATGTTGTGATATTTTTGTAGTGAAAACCCGTTTGGATCGGTATTTAGTGTAGCATTTGGAATGAATGCAGCCTAGACCTGATTTAGGTATTTTGTTATTTTGCATTGGTAGTAGTTGTATTATGTTGCCTCATTAGATGATTTATGTGTTCGGAATGTGAAAAAAAATTTTTAGCATGAAATCATTTGCTTTATATATATGTTTTTAATAGTTATTTTATTAAATGTGTTTCATATGATTTTTCAGTGTGTTAGAAATATGCATATATTTATATATATTTATTTTTTAAAATAGAATATTAAATGATTTGCATGACTGTTGCATGGAGCATGATATGCATGATATGCTGTGTTGTAGAGCATGAAGAGGGTGCTGCAGTGAAGGGGGGAAGTGCACCTGGCACCCCTCGGCCCCCCTCCACTCCCGTCACCCCGACCCCAACAGCGGCTGCAGTCAGAGCCCGTCCGGGCTCGGCGACTCTCCCACCCCAGTCGTCGATTTCACCCCTCGCCTCGAGTGAGTACACCCCTCTAAGACAGGGATGGTTCACTGTAATTTTTATTTGAATTAAAGTGTTCTTATAGTTAATTTTATTTTTTTCTAACTTGAGTTTTTCCTTTTTTCATTTGCAATAAATCAATGATGAATATAAATTTGAGATTAAGTTAAGTGATACAGATAAAAGTGCTTTCTTTGCTTACTCACAAGAGGTAAGTATGCTAGCCACCTTGTGCTGTTGCTAGATTTTTAAATATAATTTTGTTTGCATGTTGGAATGTGTATTTTTTTCTTGTTATGGTAGCAAGTCTTTGAGTACTGCAGCAATAAGTTTATCAGCAAAAAAAGTAAGATTATTTAAATGATAATTTTACTTACCATTATAAATAATATCCCAATTTGAGCCTCTGTCATTTATTTATCATTCTGATATATTAAATACCTCAAAACTCGGACAGTGTTTGCTGGATAAACCTATTGATCTGTTATTGGTACTGTAGACTAAAGAACGAAATGTAGGAAGCACTTTGAAGTTTGTGTCCTATTTTACTTGCCTGAAATAGCTTGAAATAGCATGCTTTTGTCTGCTAGAGGGTTCCTGAAGCTTCACTTTCTTGCCAGAAGTGGTGAGGGGCAATGAGATCCGTGTAAGTAATGGGTGGCCTCAGTGGAGAAACACACTTTTTTTTCTTGTCTACTTTCACTCTGAACTCTGCTTTCATCCTGGCGCTTGGACACACCAGTGATGTCAGTGCTTTTTTTTTGCACCTTATTGCAGCATTTCCTACTGTCGAGCTCAGCTTGCATAAATTAAAAAGATAATTTGCTAAATTTTCCACTGAGGCCAAACTGGTGTTTGCACCAATCATGTTCTGAACCCTGTGCGTTCCTGTTTTGTCTGTTCAGCCCCTACTCCTGCTAGTAAGGAGTCGCGACGGAGGGTGCGTTCTAGGTCCAAGTCCCCCTTCCGTTCTTTCCGCTGGAAGAAAACCAAGCAATCTCCATCCGAAGCACCGGGTAGTGCATCTGACGATGAGTCCAATCTGGAGAGGGCAGCAGGTAAATTTTGATGATTGTAAGGTGATCAACAGGTATAGGTCTCTCTCTCTGTATAAGTTTTCTCCTGACTTTGATACAGAATAGGGTTCTCTCTTTGAGAAGTGAAGTTCGCATACTGTTTATGAAACAGTTGAAAGTTTCTGCCTTTGGTTTTCTCAGCACCACAGAAAAGTTCTTGTGCTGGAAGTACAGGTTTGTTTTAGGTATAATATCAGGTTAAGTATGCTAGTGAACTGAATGAGGTAGAATAATTAAAGAACATCATTACTGCTCTAGCTGATAAGCTAATTAGCTTGGCAAGCATACATCTGGAAGACCAGATTGTTTGGGGTATTAAAAGGCAAACAATCATGACACGCTGGCTGAAACATATCAAGGCTGAGTTCGTGTTATCTTCCCTAACATGCAGCCCCAAAGCACCCCCCCACAGTGGTCCCTGCGGCGACCATAACCACTGCAGCGGCACCCACAGCCCCTGCCCCAGTCAAGGAAGGTATGGTTGGAAGCCTTAGTAAACAGTCATCCAATTTTACCCATTTATAACCTACATGCTCTTAGTTAGGCCAACACTGTTATTGCCTGCATTTATTGTTAGAGTTAACTTTAATAATTATCATTACTTTTATATTCATTTGTTCATTTAATTTTACTTATTTTATGCATCTGCACCTTAGGCTGGAATGTATGCCACCCCATTCCCCCCTCAGATTAATGAAATAATGACTTGCCTGCATCGGCCTTTGGCTTTTAGATATAGAGAACCAGCTGTGATTTAAAAGACTATTGATCTGCAGGTTTGACGTGTGTATTATGTGAAGTATTGGTGGGAAGCGAAAGATTGGGTGTTTCCAATCATGTGTGCTTGTTTTTTATTTATTTATCTATTTTTATGGTATATGTTATTGGGATTCTGATATTGTAAACATATTTAAGGATTGTACATTTTTTTGGTTGAGAGAGGAATATCAAATATGTGTTGCCAAGCTTTGATGTTGTGTGTTGATTATTATATAGTTTGTAGGCTGCTTTGGACATATTGCTTTTGGTATGATTTAGTATATATTATTTATGTAAATTTATATAATTGCATATTTATTACATAGTATAACTTAAGTACTCAGAATTTTGTTACTTGCATGAACCATATGTGCATGTTGTATACTGATTTTTTGTTATAGTGTATAATATATTAGTTTTATGGTATGTGGATAATTATTTGACAGTATCCACTTTGCTTATGACTTGAAAATTTATTTTTAGGATTAACCTTAGGTAACAACTAGTGTAATGAACTCCAGATTGTTATTGTTGTAACTGGTATTTGAAGTAAATAAGTTGACCCAGGAGTGGCCTTTTCAATTGTATCTGATTGGATCACAACTTTGTACAGAACGGCCGAGTCCCAGTGGAGACGAAGATCAGCTGGAAGGCAGTCTGGTTCGCAAGCATGAATGGGAGTCCACTACAAAGAAGGCATCCAACAGGTAATGATCAAAGCCCATATTATGAAGGATTTGTATAGAAATGAATAGTGCAAATAATAATTTGAACTCGATCTTGAGTATCTGCTTTTTTTGTACGTGTCTCACTAAACTTTTACTCTGAGTCATGGTGACAGTTTTGTTCCTTTGAAGTAAAGGAATATAAACTATTGGTATACATTAGGTACTATATGCCAGACCATTTTGTAGTTAGTTAATACAGTAATTATGAGCAAAATGTATGTAATTTTTTATTTACAGTAGCAAGTAATTGTATGACAGCTTACATTTTTTCTCTGTTGCATCTTCAGGTCCTGGGATAAGGTATTTGTGGTGCTACGTGGCAACATGATTTTCTTCTATAAAGATCGCAAGAGTTACCAGGCTGCCCCCGAAGTTTTCTTCAGAGCGGAAGCCCCTGTTGATGTCTCTGGGGGAACAGCATCTGTGGCAGATGACTACACAAAGAAGAAGCATGTCATGCGACTCAAGTGAGTAGATTTTGGAATTACCTTAATGACTTAATTGTTTGCTTTCTGTTTGTGCACTAGAA